CAGACATTCAACTCATCATAGATCCTTTTTAGCTCAGCAGTCTCAGCTGACAGAATCTTCACCTTACCCTCAATAGCCTCCTTGCCCGCCACCGCGGCCTTAGCCAAATTTAGGGCCTCTACCAGCTCCTGCTCGAAATGGGAGTCTATCATCCTCATGCAAGCGAGCGACTAACAAACAAGAGAATTGGTTAGCACAAGGAGGACCATTAAAATCCAGGAACAAAGGTTTTAGGGAAGGAGGCTAAAAAAGAAACTGGGAATACCTCAGCCAAACCCCGAACGGCGCAATGAGCTTTGTTCTTAAAGGAAACACGCTTGGTCATCGCAAGATTTGTGGTGGGAACCAAGCCGATCAAAGCAGCCACTCAGGCCTTAGGATCACGAAGGAAACCATCCCCCTGGTCCTCAGATTGGGGATGGGCAGACTCTCCCTTGTCGGCCTTCTGAGAAACAGGCTTTGGAGGGATGAAGGAGGCTAATGGAGTTAGGGATGCCGTGGACAAAGGTCTCTCAGTCCCGAATTTGCGCTCGAAGAGCTCAGGGGGAAAAGAAGCTGAGCCAGCGCCTTCAAGGGGGGCAAGAGCCTTACGCTTTTCTTACAATCTGAACTCTTCTGTAATCTCCTCCTCTTCCTCGACTTCTCCTTATCCGGGAAGATGACCATAATAAGGTCATGATCCATAGACTCGGGCTGGGGGGAAAGCAATTGGGGTGTCTCTGAAGCAGCCTCGACAAGTGGCCCAAGCTCGTACTTCACAAGGTTTTCGTCAGTCACCAGCTCGGGAAAGGCTTGTAACCCAAAGGCCTCGGCTTTAGCAACTTGACCACCTCCCCCGCGTCAAGCTGTGGATAGAAACCTGCATGACAGATCAACAATTAGTAAGCTATTGTTGAAAGTTAGTACATAAAGAAGAACATAGCCAACCAGCTGACCTTACTTGTATTTCTTGGAACCCCCCAAAACCTAGGGATGCGGGGGACATCACCAGGCTCACACGACAACTCCTAGGAGTCATCCCTAACAAACAAAATTGTGGCTTCCATCCTTTGTTAGAAGAGGGGAGCCCAAAGATCATATTCTTCGCCTTTACCCTCTTGAAAAAATACAAAAAACCTAAAGAAAGAGAAGACTTAAGTAGGAAGAAAGAGGTAAATTCTTGGATGGAGGGGGCAGAGTCGTTCCCACTCCCAAACCAATGAACAAGGAAATCGACTAGAAGGCCCTAGCCGTTCAAGGAGAGCTGAGTTGGACAAACATTGTAATAACCAAGGACATTTCAAATTAAAGGATGAACTGGGAACTGAAGACCGGCCTAAAATGCAGATTCAAACCCGGGAATAGAGGAAGTACACCTCTCATGCTCCTCGGGAGAATGCAAGGATACAAAATTAGGGAAATGATACTCCTATCTCAGCTCCTCTAGATCCTCATCATCAAGACAATTGGGAGTCACCTCCGCACAACAAGTTAGATCGAATTGGTCACGACGGGTTTTCTTCCTAGGAGTAGAAGGTGGAATCAGCTTGGACTTCCTCTTCCTCGATTGGTTAGAAGGAATAGGAGGTAAAGCTAAGGGAGCCTGAACATCTGCTAAAGGAGCTGAGGTCAAAACTCCAAGGCCAAACCTAGAAGCATCCTCGCCAATGGTGAGAGAACGGTCGCTAGATGAAGCCGAGGTAAATTCTTGGATGGAGGGGGGAGAGTCGTTCCCACTCCCAAACCAATGAATAAGGAAATCGACTAGAAGGCCCTAGCCGTTCAGGGAGAGCTGAGTCGGGCAAACATTGTAATAACCAAGGACATTTCGAATTAAAGGATGAACTGGGAACTAAAGACCGGCCTAAAATGCAGATTCAAAGAAATAGGCTAACCCGGGAATAGAGGAAGTGCACCTTTCATGCTCCTCGGGAGAATGCAAGGATACAAAATTAGGGAAATGATACTCCTGTCTCAGCTCCTCTAGATCCTCATCATCAAGAAAATTGGGAGTCACCTCCGCGCAACAAGTTAGATCAAATTGGTCACGACGGGTTTTCTTCCTAGGAGTAGAAGGTGGAATCATCTTGGACTTCCTCTTCCTCGATTGGTTAGAGGGAATAGGAGGTAAAGCTAAGGGAGCCTGAACATCTGCTAAAGGAGCTGAGGTCAAAACTCCAAGGCCAAACCCAGAAGCATCCTCGCCAATGGTGAGAGAACGGTCGCTAGATGAAGCCGAGGTAGCATCCTCAACGACCTATTCCTCAAACTTAGATTCGAAAGAATAAACAACCATTCACCCCATCAGTAGCTCAAATCGCAAATCAGAATGAAAAGAAGGAAAATGTTAGGCACAATCCATCAAGAATAAAGGTTTCAAACACCAGGTTCTAAGAAAAGATATCCTCGACAACGAGGAGTGGTCTACGAACCTCGGAAGGAAAGACAGATTGTCAAAATGACTCTTGAAATAGCTAGACCCCCAAATCAGAAAATAGAACTCAAAGCCCCACCAGGGAAGGTTAAAGGGATCAAAATCGAGTGAAGAGAAAAAGGGAGAAAGACGTACCTAATCAGACGATAGAAGTAGAGTGGAATCGGAAATACAGAAACCCTAAAATCGCCAAAGAAGTAGGGAACAAGACGTCTCAAAAGTCGAAGGAGGGAAGAAGGCACGAAGAGAATAGGTTTCAAAAAGCACGAGGTGGGAAAGGTGAAAAGATTTTCCCCATTTTATACATGACATTTAATTCATGACTGGCATGTGAGAGAAGACACAAAGGAAATCGTACCAACAGGCTCACCTATGGGCGACACGTGTGCCTAACCATCTCATCATAGCTGGCGAATGTTGATGCAACCCAACTCAGGTCAGAGCCAACAATCAAGCACAACCACCACTCGAGGAAGCAATGCCAAATTTTGAAATAGACGTTTCTAACCCCAGGTTAGAACTGACGTCATCCTCGTGACTTGGGGCTGGGGGGCAACTGATGATGATGATGGGATATTGAATGTGGGCCGTCATGGTCCGAAAGCCCAACAGGTCCAGGAAATCTCTCATTTGCATAATGGCCCAAACGAAGTGCCCACAGCCTGTCCACACCAAAAGCAGAGTGGACCAAATCTGAATGGTAAAGCCCAACAATACTAGGAAACTTGAGGCCTAGGAAACCTAAGGCCTAGCCCAATCCTAATTCAACCCAACCAAAGGATGACTTGGTATAAAGAAGCCTAGCCCAGTGTCTATCCCAAATCACTCCCGTCGCACCACGTGTCTTGGGAACATAGGGACCACTTTTGACACCTATGACAACCACGTACCCCCTTGAGCAGAGGGTGTTGGTGCACACAACCATCCAAGAATCGTGGGAACAGTGGCGCCGAATGAACAGTGGCGCCGGATGACAGAGGTTGCTACAGGACATAGGCGGTAGAACCCACAGAATCAGCAAAAAGAAAGAAGGAGCAACAAGAAACCCTAGAAGAGTCACTATATAAATGAGGCACTGTTACCTGGCAAAGGATCATCATCCCCATTGCACTCTTAAGCCCAAAAATTAGCAGATAGAGAAGGGAACATATTCCTTGTAAGAACCCAGTGCTTGAAAGACCATTGTATTTACCAAAGATTGAGTAATATACGATCTCAGGGAGCAAAAGACTCCATTACAGTGGATGTAACCTTAGTCATTTGGCTGAGGTGAACCACTTAAATTTTGTGCTCTTTGATTCTCTGTAAATTAACCTCTTGATTAGCTAAATCCACTAAAATCCCCGAAACGTTATTGGTTGGGCTTGGGCCATTATTTTCGACCATCATCAAGTATTATAGACATAAAATGTTAATTATTTGTAACTATTTATTAAGCACTGACATAATTATTATATAAAAAAATATGTTAACTTATTATTATTATTATTTAAGTTAATTTTTACTTTGTAGAAAAAAAATGAACATAGATCAATTAAGTGAAAATAGAATATTAGCGTTAAATTTTTTATTCAAAGTTTATGTGGGTCAACACGAACATGACACGAAAATAAACAGGTCAACTCGACACGACACAATTAGTTAAATGAGTTGAGTTAGGTTTGACTAATGTTCGATACAAACCCATAATGACTCAACACAAACCTGACACGATACGACTCGATTGTCACGCCTAATCTTAGCCATCACAAAAAAAAATTAAAAAAAATCAATTTTATTTTCTATCCATCCTACCAAACACAAAAGAAGGAAAGTGTATCATTCCTATTTTCCTTCCTCGAAGGATAGAAAGTATATTCCTCCTACTTTTCATCCTTTCTACTTTCTATCCTTCCTATCAAATGGAGCATTAGTCTTTTTGATCCATTTGCAATTCTTGTCCGTTGCATTTTGTATGTCAAATAACATAGCTAAGGAAATCAGGAACATATACATAAAATGATTGGATGAAATTGAAGATCAGCTAGCCCTAATGATGCAGAAGGATGTATAATTAATCTAGATTTCAATTTTACAAAAGCACTTGTGCACAAGCACAAAAGCTCTATCCCAAAGCTCATTCCATAAACAAATAAAAAATCAACTCAGTAATTGAATTGAATCTACACAGTCTGCCCTACTTTGGCTGTAAGCAACATGTGAATTGCCAACTGGGAGGGATGTATATTCTAATTTTCTGCTTATATACATGATTGACCATCCAAGCGGACTACCTCGTGGTTGTTAGTTTTGAGTAACAACTGAATTGGCCCATTGTGCTGAATTTTTTTTTTTGCTAGAAACCATCAATAATTATAGAAAGTTTCAGTCCTCAACCCACATGATGGAGTTAGAACAATTGACAATTTTGAATCGTATTTTGATACTGGGACAACAGCTTCATTGTGGCTCCATTTTTCTTGGAAGTGCCTTTTTGAAGGGGTGGAATTTTATCTTCAACTGTTATGAGTGAGTAATTGATTTTCTGTGGGACAACTAAGGTAACTGAATATTGAAAATATCACTTTTGCTATTCGTGGGAAAGCAGGAGAGCCAGGTCCCCACTGTAAAAGTTGTCCCCTTGCAAAGAAAGGTTACAATATGCACACGTAATTATTAATCACAGCATAAGTATTAATCACCATAAGTTTCGACAATATTGTGTATAAGTGATTGCATAACTATACTTCATTATCTTGGATTTCATCATCCCTGTCTCATATACCCAACAATTTTCATGCCTCATTTGTGTCATTTGACCTCCTTAGTGGCTCAGTGCCACCTAGACCCTATTTATGTGCTTTGTCTCCTCCCCATATATTGGTACCTCTCATCTAAAGTGATATTTTTTTCTGGGCTTAAGTATTGATTCATCATTTGTGCATTAGGTTTGCTTGGATTCTGGTTTCTTCTATGTCATCGATCATGGAATCAGTGAGGAATTCATGGATGAGGTTTTTTCCCAAAGCAAAAGGTTCTTTGATCTACCCATAAAGGAAAAAATGAAGCTTCTAAGGAACACGAAGTATCGAGGATATACTCCTGTTCTACATGAACATTTGGATCCTATCAATCAAGTTCACGGTTTGTTCACTGCCCTTCTGTTTTGTATAATTGTCTGGAGCAACAATATAGCAATATGAATAACGTAATGTAACAGTCTATGCAATGTTGTATTTGATACAAGTTTTAGTGAAGACCTTTGAACATTTTCTTAAATAAAGGGAATGCCAGAAAGACCTATGCAAAAAGAATTCCTTCAGATGTTACCCACACGTCATAAACACATGAGAAAATATAGCTCATGGTCATGATATCATGGTTGACACAAGTCTTCCTCACTATAAAAGGCCTTGAGTTGAATATCAGTCATACCACTGTTTCCTCCTTCACAAAAGAATTTGAACATCGATCATAATGGAAAACCTCTATGCAATCAGTGACTAAACATCTCAGTAGTTACTACCAGCAGATCGAGTGGAAGGCCAGAATAGTAGGTATGGTCGTGGATGATGGTCAAGTGCTAAGGATAAACCAAAATGATCTGGTTGACCTGATTTTCGACATACTGTAATTTGCTTGCATGTAAGGGCACACACTTGTACATGTCTACATAATGCTGAAGGGTAAATCTATGTCCAGACCAGTCCTAACACCCTATATCACAGGACCAACATTTGTCAATGGCCTCTTTTATGTATTAGTATACGTGTCTATGCAGTATGTGTGTATATGTTTTTTATCTTCCTACTACATTATTACCTTCATACTATGAAACACTGTCCAATGATTTGGCCGCATTTGTCCTACTCCTCTTTTTCTTTCAATTGGTTGCTTATATGTCATTTGTGACTTGTCAACATTATATGCAATACTGAGGCAAATAACTGATTGTCTTGTTCTATGGATTCAGGAGATTACAAGGAGGTATATGAAATTGGTGTTGAAGCACCTGAAAATGATTCTAACGTAGAGAAGCCATTTTACGGGCCAAATGTTTGGCTCTCGACAGGTAATTTCAAAAGTAATTCATTTCTCTTGTGAAGGAATAATTTTTTCTATGTTGAATAGTCTATAAGAATTTCATTGGTCGTGGCACATTTTAATCTCTCTCTCTCTCTCTCTCACTCACACACACACATAACCACGCACGCTCACGTGCCTGTCTCTGTTTCTACTTGAGGTTTTTGTAAAATCTTTTGATTCCTTGAACTATTTGTATGTCTGCAAGATATTTTCCCTAGATGGAGGCGAACTATGGAGAAATACCATTGAGAAGCACTGTAAGTTTGTCAGGCCTCTATTTTACCAGATAGAACTCTAGGTTCTGTTTGACAGACATACATACTCCTCCATGCACTACCAAAATACATAGGGAATAACTCCAGTTCAAATAGGACTTTAACTATCTGGACATGGTTTAAATGTCTGAACAGTTACATTTCATTGAAGTTTGTTTAATGAAGACATCAATATGTTATTGGCATCTTAAAGTATTGCATCAACTAGGAAGTGTTGTGAGAAGATCACATTATGTGGAAAGCAGAAGATTATAATAATTGAGTTTTCTTCAGGAGTTCTCATAGGATGCATTCATCTCTGATGTATATTGTTTGAAGGCATTTGATTCCTTTATATATGCATATGTATGTGTGTGTGTGTGTGTGTATAGATACATATATCATCTGCTGTAATTTTGTAGAATTTAACAAATATACGAGCTTACGATTTTTTTCAGTTAGCATCAATTATGCTATACTTCTTTCAGGAACCCTTCTTTGATAATGGGATCTATTCTTTTTATTAGCTAATTGAAGCCCACCGCTAATATTCTTTATTCTTAGTGATAACAATTGTTTACGTACCCCAAAATTTATCTAACTCGTCCCAGAAAATGGATCTAACTGCACTTCACTCTCAAAATTCTACAATATGTTATGCTTCACTATTCTTTATGAATTCTCGTATGATGCATTTTTCTAAGATTTCTATTTTTTAGACAACTTTGAATCTTGGGAAAATAAGAGATTTCCATCTGAGGTTAAAGATCAAATGATGTTAGCTGCCGAGTTCATGTTATAGACGAAACCTCTTGTAGTTTTTGCCTTGTTCTGACGAGACCAAGGTGTCTTTTCCTACTGTAAGGCTTGTTCAAAAATTATAGAGCTGGACTTTTCAGTCATCCTTATGTGTAGTTCCTCAAGACTTCTGTTTCAAATATGATGACTTGATTTTTGGCCATATCTTAGTATCTTCTGAATAAATTTTCATGTAATGAGCAGCCTTGATTTGGTTTTGAATGTAAAAGGCAACTTGGAGTCTTGGACTTTGTTCTTTTGTCTAATCACATTATTTTTTCTCATCTCTCTATGTATGCATTCAGTGAGGTGGCAAAAGCAATTGCAAGACTCATAGCCCTTGCACTTGACCTTGGGAGCAACTTTTTTGATCAGCAATAAATGCTTGGCAAGCCTATTGCCACGTTGCGCTTGCTACATTATGAAGGTTAAAATTGAAACAAAAGCTACCAAACTCCATTGTGGAGCATGCAGCATTTTTTTGTTGATTGATGTCACTTGTGTAATGTTGATTCATTGATTGTTGGTTAGGTGTAATATCTGATTCTACAATGGGATTATATGGAGCCGGTGCCCATTCTGATTATGGTTTGATTACCCTCTTGGCCACGGATGATGTTGGTCTCTAAGTAAGGATGAAGCTATAATTACACTAAACGTCCATTAAGTTCATTCTAATTTATGATAAGGGATTGTAAGCTTTTCAATTTGTTTCAGATATGAAAGCACAAGGATGCCAAACCTCAGATCTGGGAATATGTGACACCATTGAAAGGGTGGGTTAGTGTAGCATTGAGATTAGGGGTGTCAATCGTGTTGTGTTGTAAAATTTTCGTGTCGTGTCATTTTTGATCGTGTTATTTTTGTGTCTGGTCACTTTCAATACATGTCAGGTTCGAGTCAATAAAAAATTATTTAATTCCACAACAGCTCATATAATAGTATTTAAAAAATTATAAAATTCTTATTTTTTGTCTACAATACTCGTTAAATACTTATTTTTTATATACAGTACCTGTTAATCTTGTTATTTGTGTCAAATCTTAATTTGACTCATTTATTACTCGTGTCAAACTAATCGTGTTATTTTCGAGTTTTATGTCAAGTCTGGTTTGTGTTAATGAATAAAATTGACACCCCTAATTGAGATTGCTAATCGAAGTTGTGTTTGTTCCTCAATATGTAATTCATGCATCTTGCTGGTAATTTATTATGGTCCAGTTATCCCACGTTGGGTAAATACTGGAATAAATATGAATTTGTTTTATATTGACGGACTCTCTACCTATGTGATTGAGCTTTTGGGTGGTCAAGTTGGCTCAAACACGTATGGTGAATCCCATCTTGCCAACAAGTGGTATCAAAAGCATGTTAGGCTCTTCCATTGTGTGGACTCTCCATCTTCCCGACAAGTGATATCAAGTGTTGTCCATATTGATCCACGACTTAAACTTAACTTATTGGTACTGAGTTCATCCCATATATATTAGGATGTCCTCGTGCCGTATTGACCCAAGTTGGACTTTACTCTAATATTATGCATGTGGAACATATGTCCCAGTGACTTTATCCTTATGGTATCCTGAACTAGCATACCATCATTGCTGTTGTTGATAAATTTCTTCTTTAGTTTATTGTAATCTTACTGCCTTAGTGATTGATATTCGACTTCCAGAGCATTTATTGTAAATCTCGGTGATATGCTAGAGCACTGGAGCAACTCAATGTTTAGGTGAGGTGCATTTTCATTAACAACTTTTATCCTGCTGGCATCTAGTACCATAGGCGAGTTGAAGATGTTTGATACTTTTTAGGAGCTTCAAAATAGGTTCCTTCCAGAATTTTTATCAATTCTTGCATAAATTTGAATATTAGTTAACTAGTTCCCACTTTTACTTTTAAGTTTCAAAGTTTGACTACAAATCTAGTTGTCTACCTTTTGACTTGGACATGATTCATTGTGAAACTGGCACAAGTTATCAATCTTTTGATGAAATGTCTTATTCAACAATTGTGTACTGTTGAATTGATAAACCACCGGCATTGTTGGTTTTGCTCTCACAGTGATTTGCATGCTCTTAGAGTTATTTAATTGCATCTTTATGAAATTCTGGACGTACCAATTTCATGAAGTGTGACCTATGTTTTTACTTTGTTAATTCTATCTAGGTCAACATTGCATCGAGTTTTGGGGAATGGTTAAGAGAGATATTCTGTAAGGCCCTTCTAAAACTTTTAAATGTGTTTCTAACATACTATAATGTTTCTTGTTAGATGTTATCTCCCTTTTAAGCTATACATTATTAGTTTATTATACATGTATGACCGATTGATTATACTTTGGTCTCTGGCACTCTGCATTAATATTTAGGCCCCATTTCTAACTGTGTTGTTCAAACTTGAAACACAGTGGTGGTGTAAACCCTTCCAAACTTGTACCCTATTAGGTCTCTCCACTCATAGTTGAGGTGTTGTAACTGGGCTATTACTTGATGAAATTCCTTGTAGTTTCCTAACCTCTAAACATCACCTTTTAGCATGTATAGTTTATGGATGAATGGGAGTGTCACTCTCCTATGGGTGATGTCAAAAGGAAGGGCAAGGAGATGGGGTAAAATGAAATGATGGTAATGTGAAATGTAAATGCACAAAAATGTGTGTGTGTGCACAAAAGTGCTCCCCAAGCACAAGGAGTCTTTTGAGTGTCGTGTTTTATTTGAAAAAGTATTCCAAGGTCGTCTCCTCAAGGAAGGAATGGAATTCTATTGAGGTGATTTTGTTGAAAAAGGAAAAAAAAATGAAAAATCTTGTAGTTGGTTTTGGTGAGTTTTGTTCTTAATGAAAATGCAAGAAAACAAGTGTTGGCTAATCCAAAAGGGTCATTCCAATGGGATTCCCAACTCAGCTCGAAACCTTCCTCCAATGGTGCATAGATGAACGATTGATTCGTGGGAAGCTAGGGAAGAGATGGTGAGGATCCAAACATAAATCATGACTAGGCCTACGAAATATCAAAGACTCACAACCACATCCACTCTTAACCCAGTCAAACCGAACCATCGAACACCGAGAGGAGGAAAGAAAATGAGTTGAAATGAAAAACCCAAGAGGAGGTCTCCCTTGGATTAACCAACTTAAAATCTAGCTACTCATGAAAGCAAAAAACAAATGCATAATATAAAGAGACATAATGAAGAAATGAAGATTGAAACTTAACTTAAAGCAAGAAAACTTGAACTATAAAGAAAGAAATACAATACCCATTTTAAAGCAAGAAATGAAGAAAACTTGGAAGCAACAATGGTGGATTGAATAACAATGCAACTAAACTTGAAATATACTTGAAATAAAGGAGATTACAATGCAAGAAATAAAGATTACAAGAGAGCTAAAAGTTGCTGCAATGAAATGAGTGAAGAAAATACAAAACCATAAGCTTCTATTACACTATTCATCATCTTCTTCATTGAACTACTCCTAAGCTTAGGTAGCCACACCTAATGTCTTGTGGAATGCTGAATATATGGAGTGTGAGTCTTGTATTTTCATCCATGGAGGGTCCCCCTAGGTGTGTGAACTGACATCCAAGCATAGGGAAGGGGCTGGGCACTTACACAAGCAAGGACAAGCCATCCTTTCAATCCACAATGCCCCTCTCTTTCTCTCTCCTCCTCTCCCATCCCAAATCTTCCAAGGCTGATTTGAGGTGTATGAGGCATGTATATATATAGAATATGGTAAGGAGCAAGTGGTAGAATCATAGGTGGGACCCCCAAGCAAGTGGAGCATGAGTTGCAGATGTTCAGGGCATTCTGGGCAAAAACTTACCGGTAGATTTTGAGCGATCTACCGGTAGGTTTTGGTCACTGAAGTAAAAACTACCGGTAGGTTGCCTGTTCCGAACCAATTTTTGTAGAATCGGTATAACTTTTGATCCAATCGTTGGATTGAGCTGAAATTTGGACACAATATAGAAGATATCCATATCTACAACGTCCATGTTTTAAAATTTTTCAAATTCGAAGTGGATCATGGTCCACAATGGGAAAAACAGCGGTACTGTGTCAAAACCTTGGGAAACCAGTGGGTTAAACCTTCCAAAATCCATTTCTCTTGGTTTCTTCACCTTCCAAGCCTCCCAGTCCTCATTTAATGTGTCCATGCCTTCACCACACATCCATCCTAGGTTGCAAGGTTCTAGAATACATGATTTACACTATAATTACCTGCAACATCAAAAATTCAACATTATTCATAATTTGGCTAACTCTAAGTACTTAGATGTAAAAGTGGAGTTAAAATGCATGGAATGAGGCCTTCAAATATGCAATATTATGTGCTCATCAGCTACCTGAGTAGGGTAAAGCTTTCTAGACTAATCTTGTGGGAGTATTTGCACATAGTCGATTGGTTTTGAGTTAAATGTTTTAATAGTACTGGTTCATTTATCAATTCTATCATCATACTATAAGTGGGCGCACAACCGAGTTACAAGTTCTACAATGTCTAAGTGGTTCCTCAGCATGTTCTAGGTTTGAAGTGACTAGGAAACATTCACACCAATTAAATGAGTGCACACATGTATGCATAACAAATGTGTTATACAATGTACTTCAGCTAATTTTGTGGATAGTTTATTATTTATATCTGACAGGACTTTAGGCAGCTCGACAGTACCCAGATGGACATGTGCAATAATGTAGCCGTTATTAAACCCAAAAGGCATTGGGAACTGGATCTAAGGAGTAATGGCTTGGAGGAGCCGAGCACAAGAACTGACACCAGCATTTATTACAACTCGACCACTCATTTATAGCGATGTGAATGACTGAGACAAGGCAATTAATGAGCCCCTACGTCTTCAAAGCCTAAGCCCGCAGTCATGATAGCTAGACATTAATGGCTATTATGCCGAGTATACCTCCTTCATATATCCCGAGGTACTGTTCCCCGAGCATTGAACACTCAAGAGTAGGTGTCAAATGCTGATCAGAGGAACTTGAGTGCCCGGGGATAGCCATAAGTGCACGGCATGGCCCCGAGCGCTTGTCCTATCATCCTAGAATTAAAGATACGAAGATCTGGGTGGAGAACACTCATTGCACGTGGGTAAGAGTTTCAGACATTAAATATTCAGATAGGACTTAAGGCCTTTGCACTCATTACTAATCTAAGTATAAATACACCTCAGAAAAATGAACAAAGGTACGCAAGACTAAACTGAGAAAAAATATACACTGTGCAAAAACCTCCAATCTTACACTGACTTAAGCTTCGGAGGGGATAAGCTGGGTGTTGACCCGGACCTTTATCTGACCCTGTGGTTGTTTCAGGTTCACTATACAGAAGATTGCTATCTCAATCTATTGTAGGAATTCTCCCGTGCAATTTGGCGCGGTCTGTGGAAACATACACGAACGTTTCCCGTAGCAGTTATATCATGGTGAACATACGATCTCAAGGAGAAGGGGGAGGAAGTTTGCACGTGAGAAATACGGAGGCTGCCCGACTCCTAGTAGTTACGAAATCAGGTCCCTTGGGCCAATCAAGCGGGGGGAACATTCCTCACAGTGAACATTCCCCATGGATCAAGGCTTTGGGGCAAGGCCTTTTGGCTCGTGATATCATT